CCAGTTCCCCAAGCTGCCTGTCTGACACCCATCTCTGCCCCTTGGCTACTGCAGACCTCCTGCAAGCCTCAGTACTCCACCCTGCCCTAGCAAGGTAGCACTAAGCTGCAGTGCCCAGGAAGCCCCAGCAAATCTCAGCAAGCGTTCATTTGCCCAACTGTCAACTTTCCCAGCTCCCCACACTGACCTTTTGCCTTTTGTGCCCAGCTGCGGTGGCTGAAGCAGAAGGGCCTCGCTGCCTTTGCTGTTTTTGAAGAGAGATCCCGTGGGCATTTCTAATGCACATTCTGCCGCACACATTGAAAGCTGCTGGTGGTTGCTGGGCTGTCTTCTTATGCAAAACCCTCCTGGGGCACTTCAGGTACGCACTCTGCAATGCATATTGGGAGCTGCTGGCCATTTGTGAGGTTTTCTCCTTCCTCCTGCAAAGTGCTCCGCAGGAGGAGTGCTTTGCAGAAGGAAAAAGACAAATGGCCAGTAGCTTCCAGCATGCACTGTAAAGCGTGCCAAAAGTATCCCTGGAGAGTTTTTTAGGAGTGCTTTGCAAAAGACAATTGGCAGGAGGAAGAAGAAGAAAGCCTCAGGAATGATCAGCAGCTTCTAACATGCTCTGCGGAGTGTGTGCTGGTTGACCCTATAACCGCTGCCCTTCCTTGGGCTTCCATTGGCTGAAGGCCTCTGCCAGAGGTGGGTTTCGGCTTCTGCTACTACCTCTTCGCTCAGGGATGCACTGCGTCAGGGGTGGGTTTCTCGCCCCGTTCCAACCGGTTCGGTTGGAACGAGGCGGGCGGCGTCCTCGCGCACGCACGCGGTGCGCGCATGCACGCACGCGGCGTGCGCATGCGTACTACCATCTGCGCGATGCTCCAGCTGCTCCTGGAGGATCGCGCAGGCGCTGTATGCGTTCTGCGCATGCGTGGAAGCGCAGAATTCGTAAAAACCGGGGAAAGGGGGGGGGCGGGGGGGCGGGGGGGCGCGGGGCGGGGGGGGGGGGGCTTCGCTGTTCCCGGAAGTAAGTTACTTCCGGGTTCGGCGACCAACCAGATCG